CCTGAGGGGCTGTCGGTATGGTGTTCATTCTCTTGAATAAGTTATGGTTGAAGATTTGTTTAATTCTGGAGTATCTGGTTATGGTTTTATTGTAAAATGTCTGTGTTTCCTGCATTACAGAGGTGCTGGGCAAAAGTGACTTTGGGAGTATTTACGACCCAGAGAGCTCTATCTTTGTGACTTTGTTTTCTCATTACTTTATGTTCATTTGTTTAAGACTGGATTTTTTTTTTTTTATTAATCTCTTTTCATGTGGAATTAAGTTTTACCAGCAATGAGGAGCGGAAATGTGAAATAATAATAATGTAGTAGCACTTATCAATTGTCCATATGTATAACGTGCATTTCAAGGCATGCAGATACAGGCCGGCCTGTAGACAGGAAGGCAGTGCATGTTGTTACTTGCTGTGGAGAAGTAAGAACAACTCAGGTCTCCTTTCTCCACTTGTTTTGTATCCTGCCAGCCTGTAACTGTGATTTATTCTAAAGGGGGTGGCAGTGTGGGGTCTAGTTTTGCTGCTGTTAGTTTTAAAACATCCAAGCCTGTGTAGGTCATGGACAGGTAGTGGGTTTCAGGGCAAATAGTCTTGGCAAGAAGTAATTTTTCCCTCTGAACTTCTTCCCCGTGGACTGCAGCAATGTTATGTGCCCTGTGACCTGAATTCCAAGCCTTTGCTCCTCTTGTACTTCATGCTGACCATGAAGTTCACCCGCGTCTTGTGCTTCACCAACTCCAGGGAAGCTTCTCACAGGTGAGTAGAGAATGAGATCACTATCATAGGTATCTGTCAAGTGTTGTTGCAGAGGCAAGGAAGTGACTGTTTCTATCCCCTTTCCCTGCAGGTTGTTCCTGCTGGTTCAAGCCTTTGGTGGAATCACGGTGGCTGAGTTTTCTTCTCGGTTGACTCCAAGTGAGAGACAGAGAACCATAAGGGAGTTTGAACAAGGGAAAATACAACTGTGAGCATCTTAAATGACTTTCCTGCATGTCTTCCAACATAGGCTGTTTTCAGTGAGAAAAACTAGGCAGAACCAAGGACACAGCTACACAGGGTCCTCTAAAACAGCATGCAGGAGTCTGTGGCAGAATGAGTGTGAGACTTGGACTTGTGACTTTGAATTGTTTATCCTGCATGTTCTAATTTAGCTGCAATCTGAATTTCTGTGTGTTATTTCGTGGCAAGCAGTAAATGTAACTGTGTGTTCAGAGTTGCCCAAAACACAGAGGTTTGCAAATCTGAAGTTTATTGTGTGTGCTGGGCATCTGGTTCTTGTAGGAAGGAAATGGATATTGGTGCTTGAACTATACACAGTGTTAGTGCTTCCTACCAAAGCAGTCCCTGCTCAGACTGGCATAGAGCTTTACTTCTATCCAAGTGTTTGATTTACAATGTGATTTTTGTAGCTGTATGAGATTGTATCTGTGGAATGTCTCTGAGAAGAAGGTAAATGCTGATTTTCTGGGTTTCCTTTTCATCCAAACCTTGACTACTGGAATTTCTCACCTTTCTCTCTGCATTCAGTACCTTTATGGAATGTTCAGATACCTTAGAGGTTTGTAACCTCCAGTGCACTGGGAGCTGTCTGGCTTAGTGTTCCATGCTTGGAAAACCTGGAAACACCCAGTAGCTTTTCATGCATAACAGAGGGTGACAGGCTTGGAGGTCTGTGGGAAGCTAGTAATACCAGTGACAGTGAGGAGTGACTTACAGTGCTCCTGCCACACTCAGAGACAGAGGCTGGCTGACCAGTTTGAACAGAGATCAGCAAGAACTGTGCTGTGTTTCACTTGTGTGTATAATGCTAGAGATGTTGCCTGAAAATAACTATATATACATTTACAACCAGGTTAATCAGCACAGATGCCACTGCACGAGGGATTGACGTTAAAGGAGTGAATTACGTAATAAATTATGATGCACCGCAGTTCATCAGGACGTACATTCACCGGTAAGGCAGCCAGGAAGAACAGGGAGATGTCTTGAGCTTGGTTTGCTTTGAAATGTTTAGCAAAGGTGACATGCACTTAAAAGGACTTTTAGTTTTTCTTTTTACTTTAATAGGCAAATAGCTTTCGAATAAAAATTAAGCCCATAGCATTGCTTGGAATCAGACTTGCTTCAGTGTGAAGAGTTTCAGAATCAGACTCTTGGAGCTGATAATGGCAGTGACTGTGGGGCTCAAACTGACTTGAAGCTACTTGTTCTGTTTGCAGGGTTGGAAGAACGGCTCGTGCAGGAAAAGTAGGTGTTGCCTTCAGCTTGGTCCTTAGAATTCAGGTATGTCTTTGGCGTGGGGTTCATTTGATAAGGATGCATGCAGGGGCATAAGGAAGATAAAGTTCATACTACTTCCCATCCCACCTTTTCCAGTCAGCTGAGCTTTGTGCACAGACACTTCAATTATTTCCTGACTAGGCAACATGTTCCAAGATGTGCTCATTTTCTAGCTGATGGGCAGTGAGGTGTCTCATCTCCTGTGTCTGTGTTGTTATGCAGGAACGTCGGTTTCTGCGGATGTTGAGGGACGCCGGCATCCGAGACATACAGAAACACCCCATGAAGGGCAGAGCATTAAAGCCTTTGGTGCAGCAATATGAGGCAGCTCTGTGTAAGCTCGAGAAGACAGTCAAGGTAATTGAGTCAGGGAATAAAATAAGTCAAACTACAGCTTGTGCAGTTTACTGCAATTCGTGCTTAGCACAAGTATTAGTGTCCAGGATCCTTTCCTTTAACTGAGAGAATTCCATCTCGGTGTGAAGGCAGCATTGTGGGTGCATCATTATGGAATACTCAGAAAGGGTGGGGAGAGGAGGAAGAGGTTTTCTCTTAAAGGTGGGCAGCATCCCTGGAGTGATTTAAAAGACCATGTAGACTTGGAGACATGGTGGTAGGTTTGGCAGTGCTGGGTAAATGCTTGAACTCAATCGTCTTAAGGGTCTTTTCCAACCAAAACAACTCTATGATTTGTGGTGGTTTTTTTCTATTCTGGCTTTGTCTTTACCTCTGGAGCCAGGATTTTGGCAACTACCCAGTGTACTGCAAATAAAAAGCAGAGATTCAACCTTTTGTCATTACAGAGTTTAGGACTGTACTGTACAGCTATGCTGACTAGAGTTGGGTATCCCAAACCAGGAAAGCATTATCTGCAGGCCCTTCTTTATACACCAATGGGAAGGTTGAGAGCTTTCAGACAAAAGCAGGGTAGCATTTATGTGCCAGATGGGTGGACTAGGAGTCCATAATAGACCTCGTGCTGCATGATTTGGGCAAGTGTTCTGCTCTCTCATTTGAGAACTCCTGATAAATGTCTATCCTCAAAAAATTATGATTTAGAGTTCTAGACTAGGAATGTTTGAGAACTGGGGCAGAAAAGATTAAATTGTCCCATTGCTCCCTGAAATCCCTTCTGTGTGACCCTGAGACAGGGACATCTTCAGTCACCTTCTCAACTTTAATTTTGAACAGAACGAGCGAGCACAGAAACGAGCCTGAAGGAATGGAAGCTGAGATGGTTGTGTTTCGTGGCACTGAAGCCCCTGAGTGGGACAGGACATGGACTGATCTCCAGCACAGTAACGCTCAGTCGTGGTCTCTGAACGGGCCTCAGTGGTTGGCTTCTCAACCTTATCGTAGCTGAAGCTGTTACAGGCCTTGTTCCTCTTTCAAGGACACTGCAAACAGAGTTTACTTACTGGTTGAAAAAAAAAGATAAACTCTGAGATACAGATATTTGGAAGAGGACTTTGCATTGTATCCTGCTGGCATGTGTAGAACTGCCACCAGCTCCTGAGCATGGACCTGATGGAACTGCTGTCCTCCAACGGTGAGGGCCAGGCCCTTCTGCCCTGGAACAACTAATGGTTCTGTCTTACTGCACAAGCAGCTGTGTCTGCAAATGCATAAACACCTGTACAGTGCCTGTAGCAGAAGCGTTTGAAAAGCTGCTCTAGGCTGAAGTGACTGCAACTTTTAAATAAATACTATATATATATATATTTTTAAAACAGTGTCTAATGAAAGATTCTGGGGCTCAGGAGTTGGACTTGATGATCCTTGTGGGTCCCTTCCAACTCAGGATATTTCATGATTAGGGATGGAGATATTGCTGAAGGGATTTTTCACTGTTATAGTCTTGTGCCTTGTCCTTGGCTTCCAAGAAAGGACAGGACTTTGGAAGGAACGTTGTTTCCTTCCAGCATTCTGTACCAGTGGCAACAGCAGGTATTATTAAGTGTTAGGCTGGTGTTAATGCAGACTGAAATGTCTGATGTCTAGTATGAGTGTCCTGGAGCCAGGTAGTGTCACTGCAAGCCATAAATCTGTATTTGACACACGCCACTGGTATTTTTAGCTGTCCAAGCAGAAGGCTTAGAGCTGCCACATAGCTGCAGCCTGCAACTACCCTCCATGGGATGCTTTTCCTTCAGGAGGAAAGGCTCCAGCTCTGCCTTATTGTTGTGTAAGGCAAAATATATGTACACCAGCATCACCAGTACATTCCTGAAGCAAAATGAAGGGCTGGGAATCTTGAAGGGATGGGTGTTGGGAAGGGTGGTTGAATCTTGTGAAGATAGGACCAGTGTGGGTTTGGTTTATAGCAGTGAACCAATGTGTGTTTTCCTGTTGCGTGACTGCTCGCTCTCCAGTTGTTTTTCCACAGCGCGGGTGTCTTGGCTGGTGATGGAATCGCAGGAATGGAAAGTCCTCTTGTGCAAGAACTGCGAGCTCCCACGGGGCAAACCCAGGATCTGCCTCTTGAGCACCCACGCCCCGTCAGCCTTGCGGTTTCCTTATCATTAAGGGATTAAGGGCAGTTATTAGGACAAACCAGAGATTAGATGTGAGATGGCAGAGCCCGGTTGAAACTTCGCTCCAAAAAGTGCCATCACCGCTGTCCTGCGAGCCCCTGGGCACGGCCCTGCCCCGAGGGGCCGGAGCGGGAGAGCTGCGCTCCGCCCCGGGGCGGACCCTGCGCTGCCGCCCCGCCCGGAGCGGGCACGGTGCTGCTCACACCCTGCATCGCACGCAGCGAGACGGGAGCGGGCGGCGGCGGCAGCAGAAACAGCGGCGCAGGATGGGGCTGGAGCTGTACCTGGACCTGCTCTCGCAGCCCTGCCGGGCGCTCTACATCTTCGCCCGGAGCAACAACATCCCCTTCGAGTTCAAGCGGGTGCAGCTGATGAAGGGTGAGCGGGGCCGGGGGCGGCGGGGAGGGGGTCCCCCTGTCCTCCCGGTGTCCCCAGCCCCAGGGTTTGCGGGTGCCCAGCTGCTCCACCCGCGGGCGCCCCGCGTCCCTTCGCCGCTCCCGGGGGAGCTGCCTGATTCCAGCCCGAGGGTGGAAGCGGGTTACTCACCGTCCCCATCAGTGCCAGATGCTGCGAGAGGGCGAGGTGGCCCTCCCGCTGCAGAGGGTTCCTGGTGCCTACACAAAACCAGAACCTAATTGTCCAGTGCACCTCTGTTTTTTAAGTAGTCCTCTCACTACCTCTGTTCCTCTGCAACAAAGAGGACTCTGCAAAGGCGTGTGGTATCTTTGAAATCGGCTCCACCCCAGCAGAAAGTGAGTCTGATAAAAGAGGCTTTTCTGAGAAGCGCTCAGGATGTGCCAGGTCTGAGGGCATTCCCCAGTTAATGGGAAACAGAAATTCAGAGGTGGGACATACATGTATGGGCGAGGACAGCCGAGGTGTGCAGTTCTTGTTCCCTAATTAAACTTCTTTAAAAAGCTTTGTGCTCCAGTAAGCAGCAGCAGCTGCTGCAGAGCAGCTCTTCTCCTCTTGGCAGGGGTTAACAGCCCCGTGGGAGGGTCCTCATGTATGAGGGTCCTCACTGCCCATGTGTCCCCATGTGCAGGCAGGGCAGGGCAGTTGGCTGTCCCTCTGGGGGTTCCATTGGGTCAGGGGGTTTGTAGCCAGGTTATTTTGAGAGGGTTGAGGGCAGACTTGTGAAGGCTGTGGAGCGAGACAATGCAGCTGCCAGTGATCTGAACATTGATAAATGAAGAAAGGAAGGTGGTTTTATTTGGGCTAAAACCAACTGATAACTGATAGGAGCCTGTCCAAGGGGTATCGTGTGTTTTCACCAAAGGATGCCCAAAGATCTGCATCTTCTTTCTTTGTAACTGAAGTTGGTAAAAACTGTCTTTCAACCTTTCCAGAGCTCTAGATTTGAAATTAAGGTAATGTGTTGGGCATAACAATACCTCAGTAAGTAATGCTTAAAAACAGTGAGAAGGCTTCTGGGGTTGAAATTGATAAAGGAACAAAAGAGGCTCCAAGTTGTGACTCAGATCTCAGGGGTGATGTGGTTTAGTCTCTGGGTGTTCCCCTGCACACCTTAGCTGTGCGTTGGTTGTACCTTGCTGTGGCTTTTCCTCCCACCTATTTCATAGCAAAAATTTTTGCAATTGTTTGTAACTGGGGGCAGGCTCATCTTGTGTCCTTACCCTTCTTTCCCAATAAATAAACTGTTGTGGTGCCACTGGTGCAAAGGAGATGGCAGGCAAGCAATGAGAGCATCAAGGAGAATGGAACAACTGGAATACAGGTATCAGGGAACTGAGAGGAAGGAAAGTGAATTAAGTCACAGTTTCCCAGTGCTCTGTGCCCCATGGCATCAGTGCCTGCTTTTGGCCAGTGCATTTAAGATGGGTTATTTGGCCAATGGAAATGCTAGAAGTGCATCCCATCCCATTCCTACAATGTGTGCACCTCCCATACCACAGGGAAGGGCTCCAGGTACCTGCAGCTGGGTTAGCTCGCCCTGGGACACAGTGTGGGAGGCCTTGCTGCACTAGTACCCATCACTGCACAGCATGTGAGGACCAGGTGAGGGAATCGATACTCAGAACTGAGCTGGTGCACTGAATGTGTCCCTTCAGAAAAGCTCCAGGGCCCCCAGTAGGGCAGGTCTCAAGGAAAGGGGTGGAAAGGGTGAGAATGGATAGAAATCACATTCAAAGGACACCTGAGAGTACCTGGAATCTTCACACTTCATCTTTTTGAAAGGGGGTGGCAGAGATGGGCTGCGAGCCAAGTGACAGGGGAATAGTCACAAATCAGGTTTGCCAGATGCTGGGAAAGCTAAAATCACTTCCAGAACATCTCCTCTGGCACACAGATTCTCAGGTGACTCACATAGCAGGACATGGCATAAGGTTAGTTACACATTAGAGAGGCTTGAATACACAGGTACACATGTGTGACTGAAGCCAGTGGTTGGAAAAGGCCAGCACAAACAAGTCACATAAAACAAGGCTTCTGGGACTGGGTTCAGACACAACGGAGCATGTTGAGACCTCAAATGAACAAAACACCTTCTCCTGTCAGATTGACTCTGCCTACCTTTCAGGGGGGACCCAGAAGATAGCTTAAAAGCAACAAATCCATATTTTCTCTGACAAAAGATATGACAAAATGCACAGGAGCTGACTGTAATGAAGTACCATCTTTATATGGAATCACAGAAATTTATTTTCATCCGAGGACTAAAAAGAGAGTTGAATATAAATTACATTATCATCCAGGAAAAAAAAACACAAACTGCTTTCTCACTGTCCATATTGGTGATGTTTCTGACAGTGAGATCCCTTTCCTCTAAGGCACTCAGTGCTCACTCTGGGTTTGTACAGGACAGGTACCTCCAGGCACAAACTTGGAGCTGATAGAGCCCTGAGTAGACAAGCACTGTTGGTATGAAAGGACTCCTAGCCATTCTGCCTGTGGTCAAGAGGTGGGTCTGGTATGCAGACAATAAGCAAGTAAGCTGATACCATAGGGCAACCCCCCTATTCACCCTGCAGCACTTATTGATTGGTTATAAGCTTGATATAAGACTGTATTTGTACAATCAAACCCAGGAACTTGAGGCCAAATGGTCCCCACAAGCATTGCAGACAAGACCTGACTATCCCTGCCAAGTAAAACTTCTCATTTCCCTCCTCAGGGCAGCACAAGACGGAGGAGTTCCGGAAGGTGAATGTCCTGATGAAGGTGCCTGCACTAAGGGATGGTTCTTTCACCTTGGCAGAGAGGTGAGGCTCAAATAAGCTCAACCCCTACCTGCAGTATTGTTTATCTCAAAGCTTGGATTCTGCCAGGGCACTGCTGGGACTCCAGCCCAGGCAGTTTTTTTTCTTCCTTCCTATTGGTTCCACTTGTACATAACAAACCTACGTTCCAAGAGAATCCTTCTAATGTAAACAACTCGAACAGCATTGATGGTGCTGCTGTTCGGAGCTACCTTGCATGTAAGCAATGTTTCCGAGCTTAAATACCTGTCCGCGTGTCCTCCTGCTCTCTGCCTGCAGCTGGAGGCTGTAGGTCAGTGCAGGAAATCTGACATAAGGCACCTGCTGCTGAATGGCCAGGCCCTGTGAAGGTCAGCTTTGGTATAAACTCATTCTGCAGCTCCTGTTTGCTCAACAGTGTCGATGGGGTAACTGTGCCAGCAGGCCGTGTTTGCCTCGCTGGGCGGATGTATCAGATAATTGCTGCCCACAAGCAGCTGGTTGAGCCAGCACAAACTCTCTCCTGTGCTGTGCCTTGCTGGCAGTTCTGTGTCCTGCACTTCTACCTGACTCGGATCAGGCTTGTGTTGCTGCTTGTCCAGCAGTGCAAAATTTGGGGGGAGGAGAAAGGATGAGGTGCTTTACTCTCAGGTGATCAGCTCACTGGTCTGTCTCGCTCTTTGGGCAGCATTGCAATCCTCCTGTACCTTGCCCAGAAGTTCAAGACTCCTGATCACTGGTACCCATCTGACCTGCAGAAAAGGGCGAGGGTTGATGAGTACCTGTCATGGCAGCACGCCAACATCCGTGCAAAGGGGAGCAAGGTGTTCTTATCAAAGGTGAGACCATCATATACCAAAAATTAAGTGCTAAGAGCTGTGAGTGCAACGGCCCACCTTTGTGCAGGGCCTTCCCGAGCAAATGTACAAGTCAGGTGACAAATTGGAACAAAACTCGATCTGGAATTGACTTGGCTGCTCAGCTGAGCCTAACTGAAGTGGCCTGAATCCCTCATGGTGCAGCCACTGCTCTCTGAGACCCAGACCAAACTCATCCTTGGTGAGCAGCTCTCACCAGACACAGCTCAGCACTTGCTGCTCGGCTTCATGGAAAGAACCAACCTCCTACTGGAAAACAAAACACAGTTGCTGGCAGATGATGCGGTCTTCCCTTGAGAGGAGTTTCTTGTGGTTGAAATTTCAGATTTCTAGGGAGGAGACAAGGAGAGGCAGGAAGTAATGAATGACATTAATGTTGACCTGGCAAGGGAGATGAGCAGTTCCAGTTGTTCTCTTGTCTGGCTGATGAGGGATCCTCAGAGGGGGGCAAAGAGAGGGTGATGACCAGGTTTGGAAGGAATCACTTAAAGAGCAACTTGTTTCTTCTCCCTGCCAGGTGCTGCTGCCTATCCTCACAGGCCAGCCACTTTCTGCAGAGAAACTGGAATTTCTTATTGAGGACCTCAATGTTGTCCTAAAGCAGTTTGAAGAGAAGTTCTTGCAGGACAAGCCCTTCATCGCAGGCAGCGAGATCTCCCTGGCAGACCTCGTAGCACTGGTGGAGCTCATGCAGGTGAGCATCAACCTGCTGCTGGGTATGTGGGTTGGGCTGTGGGCAGGCTGCTGCACCACCACCTTGGTAATGGCAGAGCTCCCTGCAGTTAACCCTTCCATGGGGTTAAGTCTTGTTCCTTTTTGACTTTGACCCTAATTAAGTTTGCCAGGGAACACCTACTCTGATGACACAGTTCTTTCTATAGAAACATGGTCAAATATGGTCAAAGAAGATAAATTATAAACTAGGCAGAGAAAGTAAAGATATTTGGAAGAGATGTGCTGGTGTGCATGAACCTCCATGTTCTGTATTAGACAGTCCTGGGGTTAACCATGGCAGAGCTGTTTGCTGCATGTCCCAGGGGACAGCAGCTGCTGAGGATGTCACCAGTTGCTTCCTATGAGCTAAGAACCAGAGATGAGCTCCACCCAATGTGATGACTGACTGCTGCCTTGAGCCAAAAGCCTATCGGTCCTTCCTTTGGTCCCATCCCTGGTAAATGCCTTTTTTGACTCACTCCCAGATGCTCTCTCTCTCCCTGCAGCCTGTAGGTGCTGGCTACAACCTCTTTGAGGAGAGGCCAAAGTTGGCGGAGTGGCGCAGGCGGGTGGAAGAAGCTGTGGGGAAGGAGCTCTTCCAGGAAGCCCATGAAGGGATCATGAACATTAAGAACTTAACCGCTGATCAGTTTGCACCTGAACTGCTGGAGAGTTTCAAGCAGCAGCTCCTAAAGCAGGTCAGCCAGAATTAGAGGATTATACTCTAATAAAATAGATTATTTTATGAAGGCTGATTGCAGTCTTTCAGCATTTCTTCTAAAAATCATACAGAAACACCGTTCCACAAAATGCACTTCCCTTTACTCACAGCCTTTCTGCAACTTAGAAGGGAACAAAAATACATTTTAAACTGCTGTGAGCTGCTTTCTCCTCTTGTGCACTGCAGCATGGGAGCTGTAGCCCTGAAGGCTTTTCTTTCATGTTCCAGCACCACTGGATCTGCTTGAGGACTGAGGTGATTCAGTCTGTGTGGAAACGGGGGCCAGTCAGAGCTTTCCAGACAAGAGCAAAGGTTTCCTGAGGGTATGGTGGAACAGACGTACCTGAAACAAGGAAAAATAATTGTAGCAGATGGTTTTCACTCTGCAAATTGAAAACACTCTGCTGGAAGATTTTTGCTCTTTAGGAAAGAGGCAGGTCAGGACCAAGTCCCTGCTGGGGACGCTGACAGGGCTCTTAGAGCACCTGGCCACTAGATGCTGCTGCATCATCTGTGGGAGCAAAGGGACACAGTGCCCAGGAGCAGGGAGCTGTGTGGGTACCCAAGGGAGGCCTCCAGCTTCTGGGAACGATGGGGTTAGTCCTGTCAATAAAATTCCTTGACCACAGATTCATATCATACTCTACAAAGAACACCCTGCACAGTGGTGAAAAGCTGCTTTTCTTGGTCAAGCTGCTGCCAACCACACAGTCCCCACTGTAAACCACACCAGTGCTCGCTCTGTTTTCCCACAGTGGCTTTGTCAGCTCAACAGAAGCCACTTAGGCCAGGCTGTGTGCACTGACAGGGGCTGTGGTGGCTGGGCCAGCACTGAGGGCAGTGGGAGCTGTGCTGGCCAGCCCTGGGTGAGCAGAGCATTCAGCATTCAGAGCTGAGTAATGCCCCAAATACAGTTAATGTTCCACTACTCTTTTGTCTCATCAGGTCCTCTAGTAAGGTTAATGGTTACATTTGCCAGGTGTTGTAGCTCTGTTTGGATTTGTAAACAGGATTTGGAAGGAAGTGGACATTGAGTCATCCTGCACACCTGTGCAGCATCCTTTACAACCTCTTGCCTGTGCCCCTTCGTGTCCCTCCTGCCTTCCTGTCCTCCTGTCCTGTGACCTTCCATTTCCAGGTACAGGCTTCCGCAAGGAGGGTTCCAGTTTGCAGAATTGTTTTTTCCCGCCTCCTGGTTCAGCTCTGGCTGTATCTGGAAGTCTGTCTGTGCTGGCTGGTTACACTGTTCACAGAGACAGCCCTGCAGAATGCTGAGGGTGAGATGTCAGCCATCTGAATGCAAGTCATGACAGTGCTCAGAAAAGGTGTAATTAGCTGCTCAAACAATCTCACGCATGTTTTCAGTTGGACCTACTGTTTTTGGGGAATGAGCCAGCTCCCTCTTCTGTGTTTGTCTCCTGAGTAAACCTGCCCTTTAGTTCAAAAGGGCACGTGAACTACAGCTTGCAACACACATGCCTGTGGGCTGAGCTATAGCAGCCAAGCAGGCTGGTCCCTTTACCTTCCGTTCCTCCAGCCTACGGGAAATCCTAAATGTGAGTGGTGAAGAGTCAGCTTTTTCCCCCAAACTTTTTCAGTTTCAGTGCTGACACATGCAGGGATATTTGTCTTCTGACCTGATTTTTTATGGGTAGGTTTGTTGAGAAGAGCCTGTCGCATGCCAATGGGTAAAGTCAATGACAGGAGCTCTCTTCTTGCCCTAAGGGTGCCTGAGCAGCAGCCCCTGACAATGCTGCCCCACTGCTCAAGTTGCCAGCAGTGCTGAGCCTCAAGAGAACGGCCTGTTTACGTTGTACCACCAACCACTTCCTTCCCTCTGTAACCTGCGGCTTTACCACAATCACCAGCTGGGCTGCTGTGCACCCTGCAATCAAAGAGGTGCCTTCGCTGCCTCACCAAGGCTGCCCAGCTTCGCTGCACTCTGCTGTTGGCACCTTTGTACTTACCCTAACTTCAAGATTCCTGACTTCCAACTTTTCCCTTTCTCGTAGAGAGCAAACTTCCTACCAGCACAATAAATGTCTCCCACAGCTTCTGCACAAGTAGAATCAGAGCAGAGAAATAATCAAAACCAAGAGCCTATTCTGCAGAGTGCTAACCCTGACAAACCTCAGACCAGGCTTGGGAGCGGAGCCTTTCCTGACACACATCTCCCTGCAGAATCTCCAGACAGGGCTGCTCTGCACGCAAACCATTGCATGAGTCAAGGTAAATAAAGTGTCTTTCTTTTCATTTTCTAATTTATGATACTTGTAGCACAAGAGCTCCATGTAAGAGTCTTGAGCCAATTTTCTGCTTGTTGGAATAAAGCACAAGTTCCTTAAATGTCACCCATTGTGTGCTCCTGCAAGGACGGCTGCCTTCAAAACCAAGCCTGAACTATGTTCAGAGCTGGCTCTCTGGTGCTCCTCCACAAAGGATAAGCACACTTGCCTCACTCCAGCCTGGTCATGGTGACAGGAAGAGATTTTAAATTGTTTTTCCCATAGTCTCTGGTCTGCTGCATGTTCATGGTGCAGTGACCAGTGGTATTTTGGGCCCTTCTATGCACATAGGACAAAGCACCTCCCTAGAGCAACTCCTTGAATGGTCACAGAGTTGTACAACAGATGCCTTGTTTCTTGCTCTAAATAGTGGAGATAAGGCAACTCATCCTTGTACTTTGCCTTTTGCTATCCCTACACCTCTGCATTTTGTGTCATTTGATCTTGTTAGGTTCCAGTTCCTAGACTGAGACCCCTGAGAGCTGCCTGCCAAAACCCAACAGGCTGTGCAAGAGTTTTGCCTGCCTTGGTGCAAGGTCTATTGTTGAGTGTCCACTCCCCTTTCACCCTGAAAAGGGAGAGGGTCACACCTCCAGTGTCAGTTTAACGTGCTGTTCGATTCAATTTGCTCAATTCTTGCCAGGGGTTATTTGGAAATAGGTGAGAGCCTGTGACTTTTAGAATAAAATGAAGCTGGGATACACAAAATGGGAGGAATAGTAAAAAAAGCAGATCCACATCCTGAGACCTTTTCTAAATTACTAAGAAATAAATTGCAGAACTTAATGCGTTTTTTCTGTCTTGTTCCTGTTCCCAAAAAGCTGACAGAGAAAATAAGGGCAGGAAAAATGGCCTTTGAGGTGATGGAGTTAAGTGAAAATACAGTGCTAGATGTACAAGCCTGGAGCCAGGAATAATCAATCAAATGGCCTATAACACAACCAGATAAAAATACCTCTTGGGTTGTGTGGGCTGTGCAGTGCAGTCAGCAAATTGAAGAAAAACTTAAGGAAGGAACATTTCCAGGAGGCACATGAAAAGATCTTTGAAGTCCAGATAGGACTAATAGATCAACTGAACCATAAATAAAGGAGCAAAGTGAACCCACACTGCTAAGGTTGCTGCACACCACGGAGATCAACAAACTCTTCACAGGGATATCTCAGAGCAGGGACATGCAACCACTGAAGCACAAAGACTTCTCAGACTATTACCTGTGCAGACCCACTTTCGCACTCCTTTTCCCCACTCCCTTAACATTTAAGATTCCTTTGTACTGAAGGAGTTTGAACTCAAGCACCTACCACAACACCTTGATCTCCAGCATATTGGTGCTGGTGCAGGTGCTCTAGAGGGTAAACTGTGCATGCAGGGGAACTGGAGGGTGTGCACAGCCCCTTTCCCTGTTCTGGCTGAGAAACTGAAAAACTCTTATGGTGTGGTTCTAAATCTGAAAGTTCTAAACCCCTGAAAGTGTTCCACTTCGTAATTTACCCAGAGCTCCCAGCTCAGTAGCTGAGCCTTCTCACCACCCTTGGTAATGATCCTCTCTACAAGAAAAAAAAGCAACTGATCCTCCAGTTCCCTCTCCCTGAGGTTCACATAGCTCTTTCCAAAGATTTGTGCAACACACAGGCTCTGTGGCACAACACTGATAAAAAGGTGTCAGCTGAGCCGAGGTGGGTTTGACTGGAGGTGACTTTGCTCTAAGTGGTTCAGCTGCTCTATCTCCCAGAGTCCCAGAAGTCCCTGTACTCAGCCAGCACGTCACCTTCCCTGAATCACACAGCTGTGAAATGCTGCAGGCCCAGTGCAAGGGCTTGAACTGAGTCTAAGCTCTTTAGTTCTCCTCCACTTGCGTGGAAATCTGAAGTGACACATACCAGGGAGAGCAGAAAGTCACTTTGAGTAAGTATGCAGATGTAACGCCTGCAGAGAAATCCTCCACGCTTCACTGCCATTCAGGTGTCACCTCGCAGGACTGGGCAGAGACTATGTGACCAAAGAATTATGTTCTGAACCGAAAACCATCCAGAGATCTGGCAGTGTGAGATTAATGCTGGGTTAGAGGACGTTGTGCAAAGGCCTTGTCTGCAGAGTGGCACATCCCTGCAGAGCTGTGTTACCAGAACAAGCATTTACCTTCTAAGAGCCATGGTGGGATGCTGAGGGTGAGAGCAGCTCCTGAGCCCCTTTGGTGCCAGCCAAGGCTGCAGAGGGGAATGACAACCCCTGCTCTCTCAGTGCTTAGTGCCAGCCTCTCTTTTGAGGCTGGCAACTGACCGTTACTCGCAGTTTATCTCTCACGTTACCTTCCTTTCCTGAAGGAAAATTAATAGGCACGGTGCCAGCCCCAGCGGGCCAGGGCCGCTTGACGGTGGGATAGGGAACTCTGTGCCCTCTGCCCAAATTCCAGCCGCGCCTTCCCGCCCCTGCCACGGCCGAGGGGACTCTCCTGGGCTTCTCCGGCATTATCCAGACCGCACCCCGCAGGAAGCTGGCGCCCCGCCGTCTCCCCACGGCTCACACCCAGCTCCCTCCGGCTCCGTGCCCCGCACAGCCACCGCCCCCCGCCCGGCGGGGCCCGGGGAAGGGAGGAGGGGAGGGACGGAGGGCACCTCCCGCCCGGCGCGGCTCGGCCCCCGCCGGCCCATGCGGGGCGGCTCCGGGCGGCCGCCGGCAGAGCCGCGGCAGCTCCGCTCGGAGCGGGTCGGGTCGGGATGGGGCTGGAGCTGTACCTGGACCTGCTCTCGCAGCCCTGCCGCTCCATCTACATCTTCGCCCGGAGCAACAACATCCCCTTCGAGTTCAAGCACGTGGAGCTGTTCAAAGGTGGGACGGGCGCGCTGCCCCGGGGCAGAGCGGGGCCGGGGCGGGCGCAGCCCGGTTGGGGCGGCGGGCTCAGCCCCTCTCTTGGCTCTTGGCAGACTCGGTGCTGGGGAAGAGGCCGGCGGCGGGGAGCGGCGCGGAGCAGCCCCGCGCAGGTGAGAACAGGGCAGGGCACGGGAAGGTCCCCGCGGCGGGCACCGAGCCTGTCCCCGGGCGGGGAGGGGACAGGCGCTGTTCCGGGGCGCTGGAACGCGATCCCCGGGCGGGGGCCGGGCTGAGCCCTCCTGTGCGGGCCCGGACCTGCGGCGGGTTTGCTCTCCCGGCCCCCGGGGGAGTCCCTTCGCCTCCCGGCAGAGGAGCAGCAGCGTGTCCTTCGGCCTGGAGGGAGGGAAGGACGAGCTGCCGGGGTCACCCGAGTGATGCTGAATCCGTGCGCTGCCCAGGGGCATTGAACGCAGTGGTTTGACCGTGCGACTCCTGTTCCCAGAGCGGTCTCGTAGATTCGCTGCATCTATTTTTGTGGATCACCAAGGAATGTTCCTCCAGCCATTTCTAGCAAATTAGTCACAGTGACAGCCGAGAAGTGCTCTGGGAATGCTGTACTTTGCAGAAACACTCAGATGTTTGGGCTCGCCCAACTATATAACTATTGCCCAGTTACATTTTGCATTTTCCTAGTAAACTGTTGCTTTTGTGCACAAGGCAAAGCATAGTACTTGGAAATCCTTAGCTGAGGACATGATTAGGCAGGGACATGACTGACAAATAGACTGGAGTTTTTTCCTTTCTATTTCTGTAAAATCTTGTCCACTGCTCTTTTCATTCAGCAATGTCTCCTTCTTTCTACTATGACTTACACGTAAGAATTCCTTGTGTATGCAGCCTGCCTTGCTTTTTTTACAGTGTAATAATTTCCTTGTTAAAATTACTCCTCAAAGCCCAACAATACACACAGTGTATATATCTATATATTCTTGAGGGACACCAAGATCTAATTACACCAGATAAAACTGATGTTAAACAGAACCATAAGTCAAGTCAACATCACAGGAATGATAAAGATAGGCCACCTAATACCACTAAACAAAAAGGCTGGCTCTGCTGGCTGGAAGAGAGGCAGAAGCTTAAACTCTGTTAAACAGCAAACACAAATATTGGTCTCTGTTTTCACACAATAAGCAGTTGGTCCCAATGAAGCTGCCTGCACTTAGTGTTCACACCAAGGCGTTTGCCAGTTCTCAGCTCAGTCACAGAGTCTTGGCACGGGTCTTTTATTCTGTGTATAAAGACTTTGTACAAAGCAGAGCACACGAGGTGCCATCTCTGGGCTGTGGTGCAGGCTGTGTTACACACACCGACCTACTGCCCAGCCTGATGTAATGACATGTTAGTCCCATCAGGGAACAAGTATGCTCAGTATTCCTGCTAGGACTGCTGTATGATGAAAGCTGGCTGAAATCTGGTTCAGGCTGCCCTCATCCACTGCTTACTTCTCATGTCCTTGTTTCTTAGTTTCCTGCTACTTTGGATAATAAACACAGACAGCAGGACAACGACTGGGTCTGACAAGGGAGTGCTCGTTAGCTTGAAGCATTACTGACTGGAAATTTTCTGCTGCTTTTTTCCAAGGACCCCCTGACTACTTACCAGATCTCACCAGAGCTGGGTGTGTGATGACCACTGGCCTTTGGAGCCCTTCTAAAACCACAGGACCAAGCACCTTCTCCAAGCAACTCCTTGCATGACAATAGATTACAAAAATTTGCCTTGCTGTTTCTGTGATACAAATCATGTGTGTGAGGCACCTTGTACTTGGCCTGCTGGCTTGATTTTTGGGGATTTTTATATTCAATTTTCTCAATTATTAGGCTTAACTTGCACTTTCTGTCTAGCTCTTATTCTTAAGAAGCTCTGTCTTCCTGCCTCTCCCGACAGTGCTGCCTGGTTCTGCACATGGAGCCTCTTACCCAGCTAAGCTGGAGGCCACCATCACAGCAGGTAGCCAGAAACTTTTCCCACTGAGATGGAACACATGGGTTTGAATCCCTTCAGACAGCAGATGGATGTGAACCTTAGGCTCTAATAAAGCTACTTACACTGGAATTTAAAAAAAATACTTCTCAAAGAAACAAGGTAGAGGCTAGTCAGCTAGAAAGGAAAACAGAGTGGTAATGTCTGCTCTGCTTGATTTGCCTCATTATATGAAATCTATATAGGGAAAGGAGTCTGTAATTGTAATGCAGCTACCTGCCTTCTCCCACCCCTTCCCAAACCACATGCAAACAAATTTGATAGTCCAGAGGGTGGTTTTATTTCCTGGTGACTTATTTCCTGCTGCACATTTGTCCAGTAAAGCAGACACTGTCACTGCCTCCAGAATGGGAGCAAACAGTTCTTGGGGATGGAGATCACTGTTAGTTAAGACCCCTTCTTTTTTTTTATTTTTTTTCTCCCTCCTCCTTCTAAGGAGCACTTAAAACAAGCAAAGCACACAAATTCCTCAGAGCTTTTCTGCTCAGGTGTTCCTGGACTGTTGTACAATTCCCTGGCAATTTAACTGCTGACTGGCAAGAGCAGTGCCAGCAGCAGGAAACTGAAATTCTGATTAGATGGTGGGCTGTTGATGCCTCCAGGGGACTGTGGAGTTTAAATTCTTATGGGATGGTGTCTTCTTCCTGCGTTTTCCTGTCAGAGGTAGGCTGACATGCAGAGTCAGGTGTAGCACAGAGTCAGGAATAATAAAGGTGGAGATGTCTGAGCTTCCTTGCCCCTGGCAAATGTCCACATCTGGCTTATTTTATGAACCTACAGCTGTACTGCTGGCACTCATGTTTTTCCAGTCAAAAACTTTGGAAACATCCTCAGCTACATGTCTGCTGAGGGATCAGCTCTGTTGACAACATTTACTTTCTTTGTAAGTGCTCGATTCCCTCT